TTGTGCATCTGTGTCCTATCTCTCTGTCATTGTTTGTATCTTCAATGTCCCCAAAATCCCAGGTGTTAAAATCTTGGTCTCTAAGGCCAATTGGTCATGGACCAGATTCCCCCAAACTATGAGTCAAGTTAAATCTTTTCTCTTTATAAGTTAATTATCTCAGGTATTTTGTTATAGTTATTGAAAATTGGCTAACATATCCTCAACTCTTACTATAAACTCCTTGAAAGCACAAACCATCTCTTATATTTCTTTGTTTCCCCACATCTTCCAATTTGGAGATTATGACTAGTTGAGTGATAGATTATTATAAAGATGGCTACCAATAATCCAAGGAATCCTTTTATTTTCCCTGATCCATCCCTAATGGAGGTATTAATTATCCAATGAAAAAGACCCAAACAGAGATGCCCGAAGAAATGGGGTTTTGAATAATCTTTTTTTGCTTCTTTTTGTAAGTTGTGGAGGTTTGGTGATACTTGGATTTGAACTTGGAGCTTCACATAAGCGAGGCAGGCGCTCTACCACTTGAGCTGGTTTGCTTCTTTTTAGTGATTTGTCAACTATTCTGTAATTCAGCCACTCAACTAAATTCTATGTCATCTATGAAACTGAATTCCATATGTCAAAATCAAGCACAGAATGTATGGACACATGACTATTTGACTATGTATGTGTGCCATAGACCATATGACTCTAACTTTGTTGGGTTCTAGAGTTATCTGTATGTTTGCTTGCCTTCTCTGGCCCCTTTCTATTTGTTTTTTTCTTTCTTTCTTTCTGTTTTGTTTTTTTTGGCAATACTAGGTCCTCACACTTCTTAGGTAGGTGCTCTACCACTTGAGCCATGTCCTCTGCCCATCTATTTTATTAAAAAAAAAATAGAAATAGCAAAACAAGGGGATGTTAAACTAGAAAGTAATCTATAGGTTACCAAAAAATACTGGCAAACTTCTATCATTCAACTTACAAACAATGCACACTCATAAAATGCCACAGTTCAGAGAAGCAAAACTTGTCATATGTTGAAATTGAAAATGATTCTTTCATAAATGAAGTTGACCAACATTTCAGCAGGATTGTTGCCTGAAGGAAAGTTTCCTGGGCTCCAGCCTAATATGCCTAACAGTGAGCCACACATGTCTGAACAGATGGCTGGATGCCAAAGTCTTTCTCATGTTACAGTATTTTCTTTCTATTGTCCCTGAATTCTACAGGGAAAAGGGAAAATGCTGGAACTTTTGAAAAGTATAAAATATCTCCAGTATGTTTTTTGAAGAGTTACAAGTACAAAACCTTAATTATCTTGGAAATTTCTTCTTCCTTTTTTTAGACACCTATTCTTGGTTAAAATATGCAGCTTACTATAGATTTATCTTCCTTATGATCTTTACAGCTAGAAATACAAAACAGAAGATGTCTTTTAGTCTTTTACTAGAAGATCTCTTCTGTGTTCCCTGACTAAAAGTGTGAGGACATCATCCATTCAGTTTTGAGATTGGTGAGGCATAAGCCTGGTATTCCTTCTTAAAACTCTCTGCATCCCTCCAACACCAATCCTGCAAATGCCTCCTAAACAACTTTTAGATCTGTCCAGAATTCTGTATTTCTAATACTATACTCTGGTCCTAAGTCTTAACAGCTCTCACCTGGATTATTACAGCAAGAACCTAACTAATCTACCTGCACACGACAGCCAAAACCCAGTGATTTTTGGCAAATGCAAATTTGGTCATGGTCCTACTGCTTCCTATTACTCTTAGGGTCAAAACAAAACTCCATACCTGACACACACAGCCAAGCATGCCCCTGCTTACTCTCTAGCATCATCTCCTGCAACAGGAGGGCCACTCCCACTACTGTAATTTCATTAAACTCAGTTCCTCTTCCAGAGCCTAATTCAGACACATCCTCAGGGAAGCCTCCCTTGACCTGCCCCAGCTTTCCCCAAATAATTAGGCCACGTCCTGTTGTTTATCCTCACAGAACCACATATCTGATCTCTTTCACAGGATTTAGATAAAAGGAAGAGGCTTATAGAGCAGTGCATCTGAAACAGGAGTTTCAAGTGAGGAAGTAGAAACACAGAGATGTTTATTTAATACTCAGCTTCTAAAATTCAAGCCAATATTTCTAAACAATGAAGAAAAACATATATGAAGATACTTATGAGTGCTCAAAAGAACTGGAGATTTTCAATAAATAAATATCATAAATTCTTCAGCAACAAATAACTTGAGTTATCTAGACTCTGACTGAGTATATAATTTAGCAGCCAGAAGCATCTTAACAATTGTTTCAATCATCCTGCCTGAGAAATACAGCTGAGAAAAGTCAGTCTCAAAATTGCATCTCAGGGGTCTTACAAAGAGTTAATGGTGGATATGACTCAGAATTAGTCAACGAGTATCTGTTGAGCACTATTACATGCATTAGTTTTGTGTTTCCATGTCATCTTTTCATTACTGTGTACTGTCTTTGCTCATTTTCAGGAACAGAGCAAATTAAAATTTACTTTAATTTGACAATATAAAGACTACTTTAATTTTATTTTTAATTGACAAATTATAATCATATATGTATAGTGAACATGATATTTTGATATATGTATGAATTGTAAATAAGCTAATTGACATGTGCATTATTTCACATACTTTTTTTATGGTGAGAATACTTAAAATCTACTGTCTCAGCATTTTTTCTTTCTTTTTTCTTTGGTGGGACTGAGATACAAACTCAGGGCTTTGTGTTTGCAAAGCAGGCACTCTACCACTTGAACCACACTCCCAGTCCATTTTGCTCTGGTTATTCTGGCGATGGATATCATGAACTATTTGCCCTGGCTGACCTCAAACTGTGAAACTTCTGATCTTGGCCTCCCAAGCAGCTGGGATTACAGGCATAAGTCACTCATGCCCATAAGCAATTTTAAATTGCAGAATATATTGTTATTAACTGTAGTAACCATGCTGCATGATAGGTCTCTTGAACATGTTCCTCTTACTGATCTAACTGAAATTTGGATAATTTGACCCACATCTCCCCAGCATCCCCTCCCCTCAGATTCTGTTAATCACCTTTCTCCTCTCTGCTTCTGTGAGCTTGACACAAAAATACTTCTACCCTAGGGGACCAAGAACATAGCACTGTAAACCTTTAGACAAAGGAAAGATGTGCTATTAAAACTATATTATAATGAAGTTCTGTTTCATCGTGCATGAGTTGTCTCTTCATATTTCTGTTTCACTCCTCTTTTTCTATATGAAGTTCTTAAAAAGGGTCCTAGGAAAGAAAGTCCTAGGACTTTCTTTTCTTAACTTTCTCAATCACCAAATGCATTCCTTAATGTCTATACTAGCCTTCCATCTTAGCCAATATCTACCTGTTTCAAGCAATGATGAGAATGAGATGTTATTGTCACATGGCTTCTTGCCCACTCTTGTCATTATTAGCTGTCTTCTTAGCTCACTTCAGTCCTCAGAAAGGATAAGTGTGTGCTCCTGTGTCAGCAGTATGAGGATAAAAATCTGTCCGGCCCTTACTGCCTATTCCTTCCATAGATAGGCAGGCTAATGGCCAGCTTGTAGCACAAAATGTTGTGACTTACAGACACATGAGTTAAAAGGGACATTGGAAACCATTTAGTCAAACAATCCGAGTCGTGCAGGGATACATTCTGAAATACTTTACCAGAGAGAGCAAATTTATACTGACACTACATGCTTGCACTAATTCCTCTCTACCTTGCTTGTGTGGATGGTCTTTAAAGTAACATGAATCTTATATTCAAGAACTCTTCTTGTGTTCCTCAACAAATATATGATTTCTTTGAATGAAACAAGCCTGTGCTATCCTAAAGCTTTACTTTTGCAGCTGCAGACGTGTTAAGTACGTGTGCGTGTTTTAAAGCCAAGGCCATTAGGTGCTAGAGCACCTGTAATCCCACCACCATCATGAAAATTCATGGCTTTAACATTTTAATGATTACTTCATTGTATAAATGTACTCAGAGATGGAGGGACTAGAACCTTCCATGTGTCTGTTACTATCTTCCCTTTCAGACTCTCTTGCTCTGCTAACAAAATTCTACATGTCTGTAAGAGGGTCTAAACCAGACAGAAATTCCACTGTCTATTCTGCCAAAGCCAAAGACAGAATAATTTCTTTTGTTGTGTTTACACGGCACTACTTTAATAAAAGGAAGACAGACAAAAGCAATTGTTAATCAAGTATCTTTTTTCTATTTATATGACAGGCACTTTTTCTCTGTCAGTTAAAATTACCTTGTCCACAATAGCTCATCATAACACACTCATATTTACATAGGAAATCTCTTAACTATTTATATGTTAAATGGCAACATTGCAGATCCACCCATCTCCATCATAGATCCACACATGTGGTAGATTTAGGAAACTGAGTTTCTGGGATATCATTTCTTTCTTTTAATTGGCAATGTGCCTGGCAGTGAAGAGCTTTAAATTTGGCATCTGTCATTGCCTATCTTGGTCCAAATTATTATCATGCTAAATACCAAGGAGAATACCACTCAGGGGAAATCAGCAATGGGTGAGAGTGGTAAACTTCATATTACTGTGTGCTTGTGTGTGAATATTAAAACTGTTCACCAGATGCCTCCTGTAGACTTCCAGAAAGGCAGGAAGGGTGGTGCCACCGGGTTCCAAAGACACTGATATGAAGTATGCAGACAATACATAAATCATGGGGCATATTCATCTCACTTGGCCGCTGTGATTTTACTGATGTCACCGCGGGTAACTGGGATCTACACCAGGACCCTCTCCCTTCTGCACTCAATGCCTTCGAGGTGTTGCCCATCTAGGCAAGGCCCTGCTATCATTTCACACAGTCCTCTAATAACGTCCTCGGGGGCTGTCATGTATTTTCATGTGTTTGCCCTATTATCCCTCCCTGCTTGAGTCTTACAGATAATTGATGATGCTTCAGTTAATCATCTTTCTGTCTCTTTTGTTCACCAGGTACTTCGGCCTTCAAGGGGCTCCTTTATTGAGAATCAATGTCTTCTCCTCATAATTGATCACCAAAGACCCAGGGACACTCGATTCATCGTGGAAAGAGGGTAATCGTCATGAATAATCAAAAAGCCGTAGCTGCACTGCTGCAAGAATGCAAGCAAGTGCTGGACCAGCTCTTGTTGGAGGCACCAGATGTGTCAGAGGAGGACAAGAGTGAGGACCAGCGGTGCAGAGGTGAGGATCTGATGGGAAGCACCAGGGGTGAGCCCACAGGTTCACTCCCTCTCCCTGCCCCAACGACACGTTCTCATCTCTGCCCTATTTTTCTTCTCTTGGCAGTTGACCACCGAGAGATGAGTGGATTTCTGGGGCATGAATGGGACTTGGGCTGCAGGCGGAGGGGTAGGGGAGAACGCCCACTTTGTTGCCCTGAATTGCTGTCAGTTCTAATTTTAGGCTTCAGTAGACAGGAGGCCACAAGAAACAGTTTAGTTCAAGAAGAACAAAGGGTCCAAGTTGGCTGGTGCACGTTAATTTCAATTATTAAAAAATTGAAGCAACTTGTGAATGGTGGAACATACTTTTTTTCCAACTGAGAATTTTGTGCCTCATCAACTTCCATAGACTTCTACACTTTGCACAAATATGTCATCTCACCAATCCCACCTCTCTTTCTTTGGTCATCAGTATTTTCCTCATGCTATTTGTAAAAAAATAATCCACTCTTCTCAATAAACACTGATTACATCATGATCAGAGTTTAAGTGCTTGGCTTTTTGTTCATTTCGTAGTTTGTGCTATTCAAACTTATAGATAAGTCATAGTTTGGGAAATTTCTATCACAAAATCTAGAGAGTTAGAATAGTTCTTATTTCTCCTTTAGCCTTTCGTTTTGGACAGGCAACCCATTTTATTTAGATTTCTTTTGAATCGTTCACATAAGTTTCCCCCCATTTCTATAAGATTGCATTTCTTAAAAATATTTTTCTTCTGCTATTAATATTTTAATATCTTTCTTGGCTATTTTGTATAAATAGAAGAATCCCCAATAAAATGTACACTCCTCGTCTCTTTTGTTGTAGTTGTTCATGACGGAAGGGGAAAAGGTTCTAGGAGAGTTTATCCCCCATCCCGTTCATGTATATAGACACATATGTTTTTATAGGGACACTTTTATGGTTCCTAACCTGTTATTTGTGCATCAGTTCCCTAACTTAGCTTCATGTGTCCTTTCTTCACTAGTCAAGTACACCAATGTGCAACTTTGCTTGCTAGCTGTGTGCATGCCAGCCTGAGATCACCCATGCCTTGCCAAAGAATGGCAGGCTTGAGACTTTTACCCAGTAAGCTCTGTTGCGTCCTCATTTTCCCCAGGACAGTGTGTTGGGTTGGGTTGTTTTCACAGAAGTTTCTCTTGTTTTCTCTTACTATATCACACCCTTTGTCTCCTCATCCCAAAATCCTTTAAGCTTTATGTTCCTCCTAATGAAGACTCTGAGCTCCCAGTTGGGTAGTATTTTCTTCTTTTTCTTCCCAAGTGCCACAGAATAGGAGAAATAATCAATTTAGTTTCAGATAAGGCAAGTCATGGCTGTAAAATCACTAAATTAGACAAGGTCCTTCAGGTGAGCTGCTTGGGAAAGTCAGCGATCAGAGGCAGAGATGGTGGCTGTGAGAGCCCAGTGAGGGAGGAGCCCTCCTATGCAAGCCATGGTGGTCCCCACATATGGCCTATCCCTGCAGCCCTCTGCCTGGCCCACTACCGTGTGAGCCCTGAGACGTGATTGGCCAAAGTTCTTGCCCAGCAGGTGCTTTCTCAGCAGCCCTAGAAGGGGATCACCTATGTTGTCACCTGTCACTGCCTGGGCTCCCAAAGAAAGGCATTAGTACAAGATCGCTTAAGGAAGCAGAGCAAGCTGGCAAACTCTGGAACAGAGACATTGGTTTTTATTCTTTTTCTGCCTTATCTCAACCCCATCCTTCTCCTTCAGAAATTATCCTTGTTACCTAGAGAACAAGCGCCCTGAAGATGGAGAAAGAACAGAAATGCAAACAGGAATACAGTTTTTAAAACATATTTTATAGGCATCTTTTCTTTGGGTGTGTTCCACAGACTGTTGATGGTCTGCAATGACCTGTAGGGGAAAGGAGGTGTGGAGGAAGCAAAACTGACTTGTAAAGAATAAGCTTTCACCGGGCACCGGTGGCTCATGCCTGTAATCCCAGCTATTCAGGAGGCAGAGATCAGGAGGATCTAAGTTCCATGCCAGCCCAGGCAAATAGTTTATGAGACCCTATCTTGAAAAACCCTTCACAAAAAAGGTCTGGTGGAGTGGCTCAGTGGCTCAGTGTGAGGCCCTGATTCCAACCCCAGTACTGCCAAAATAAATAAATAAGCTTTCTCTGCCAGGATGGTGGTTTGCACATCTGCAATCTCAATCCCAGTACTCAGGAGTCTGAGGCAGGAAGATCATGAATTGGAGGCCAATCTGGGATATATAGTGAGATCTTATTTAAAAAAAAAAGTTCTCCATTATTATGAAGAAATTTGAAGTTTGAACTATTCAGTCCAAAGTAAGATGAAATTCTATGAACCCAGAAATCACATTTCTGTTGTCATGAGACTACTTCATGTTCATTCATGGAGTCCAAATAATTTACCAAACTGGGACACTTCTGAGTGAAAATGTGCACTATCAGTAAGTACACTCAGACACACACAGGACTGTCCTGAGCAAACAGAATTGGACGGGCATCCTGCTCATGACTATTTACAAACGACCTTGAAGAAGGTTGCTCTGTGCATATATTGGGAAAATTTTCAGAAGTTGAAATACTGTCAGTGATATTAGGAAAGCCAAGCTTTGCAGCAGAATCTGACCACACAGGTTCCTAATGCCAGGGCCCTGACTCTGAGGGAGACTATTGAAGAATGGGTCTTCAGGAGTTCTGGGCTGCTGAGTGTGTTGGGGTAATAATTTTAGTATGACACTGTGGGTCATCCCTACTCACCAAAACTGATCATTCATTGGTGTGGTCCATACAATGGTCCCTCAGTGTTGAGAAGTCCTTCCCTGCCTGGAAACTGCAGTGACAAGTTCGCAAAAAGGCATTGAGGACCGAAGCAAAGTTGGATGTCTTTCTTCTCTTCTTTTTGTTTTTTTGTTCTCTCTGTCATATCTCATTTGCTCTCTTTAGCATGCTGCAGGTAGATATAAGACTAATCGTGTCTTTTAACCACGATAGTGTTTTACTCATCATGATATGATTCACAAGAGAAATGATACCGGTCTTCAGGAAGCCCCCAGCCCAGTACAGGCAGATGCAGCTATAGAGTAGTGGGATAAGACTGAAAGCAGCATGTGCCTGTGGGTTTGGGAGCACACAGAGGGGGCATTTCAGTTCCACTGTGAGGTCACAGCAGGGTGACAAGAAGTGGCAATGTTTACACTGAATGCTGAGGCAGTGAGATTGAGTTTGAGTACCAAGGCATTGGGGGAGGGCAACACAAACAGAGCAGGCTGTGCAAAACTAAAGAATTAAAGAATTCTATGTAACCAGGTGCTGGTGGCTCACACCTGTCATCTTAGCTACTTAGGAGGCTGAAATTGGGAGGATCACTGTTCCTGGCCAGCCCAGGCATGGAGTTTTCCAGATGATATCTCAACCAATAGTTGGGCACAGTGGAACACACCTGTCATCCCAAGATACTTGGGAGACTGAGATCAAGAGGATGGGAGATTCAGGACCGCCTGAGCAAAAAAGTTGGCAAGACCCCATCTCAGTGGAAAAAAAGCTGGGCATGGTGGCATGCACCAGTCATCCCAATGACAGTTGGAGGCATAAAAAGGATGGATTGATGTCCAGGCTGGCCTGGGCATAAAGAGACTCCCTATCTCCAAAGTAACCAGAGCAAAAAGGGCTAGAGGAGTGGCTCAAGTGGTAGAGCACCTGCCTAACAAGCTCAATGCCCTGAGTTCAAACTCCAGTGCCTCCAAGAAGGAGGAGGAGGAGGAGAAAGAGGAGGAGGAGGAGGAGAAAGGCAGTGTCCCGGTTCACCTGGTTAGAAAGAAAGGGGATGGGCAATGTGGAAGGTGGAGTGAATAGCATGAGATTAGAAGCAGTAAGTCAGGTAAAAATTACTGAAAGGGACTAAAAAGAAATGTGTTTTTGGAGCCAGGGGAGTTAATAACCAACTAGGTTCAAGGAGGAAGAGAGCAAAACACTTAGGCTGCCTGGGCTTTGGATTTGGATGATACAGTGAATGGTGGCTCCATTTATCAATGGAGACTACAGACGGAAATAGATTTAGAAAAGAGCTGGTGAATTCACTTTTGTTTACACTCAGTGTGAGATGCTTGACACAAATATAAAGAGATTTGTAGCTGGCGATCACGTAGACAGGTCCACAATCCCTTACTCGGAACCCTGAAGGTGACATGTATTTCATAAATTAAACTTCGATCAGTATTAGGAGGGTCTCACTGTGCACGCAGCATATGTTACGTTCAGTCTGACACAGAAAGTGGGGCAGCATCTGAGTCAAACATTAGAAGTTTATGCAGCCAAAGTTTTGAGCAATCTCACCAAGTAGAATAACCAGGACTATAAACAGCTCTAATCAAGTCCAGTAGGGTGATGGCAAATGTAAGAAAAAACTTTCAGTGGTCCGAGCTTTGGAGGCTTCTGAAGCTTGGCTAGGAGTCTGTGCACCACTCTTAAGTAGGTTTGGTGCTCGTTGAGAGGTTTTACGTAGCTACTAAGTGTGTAACAGGGCATTTCACAGCTAATTGATATCATTTCACGTCCATTTGTGGTGTTCGTATTTATTGTCTATATTCAAATGTAGCCCGAAGTGAAAGGATGACATGAAGTGAGGTGTTAGAGGAGCAAGAAGAGGCTGAATGAAGGGATACTCTCCATTGTCCAGCTGCCACAGGTCCCAAATGCCATTCCATTATTCCAGTCCCTTTCTCATTTTACAGAGAAAATAATATTTCCTTCATTCCTTTCTCTGATTCTTCATGCAGAGCTAGTCACTGAAGTGCTTTGCTTCCTGCTAAAAACCTTTCTTAATGCCTGACTACCCCAATTTACCTGTAGGGCACAGTACACCAGGGCCACCCCTGACAGATATCTCCTCGCTATTATTCTTTGAGTCTTAACCAGCCGCTTAGGCCAGCAGCGAGAGGCAGGGAAAGGTTTTTTTGCCACTGAGGTGCTTCATCATAACACGGGGAGCTCAACAGCCTTTTCTTTGTCTGCCATTTCCTAACCTGAACTCTGACCTTTTCAGCTTCCCTCCCCAGCGAGTTAAGGACGCTGATCCAGGAGGCAAAGGAAATGAAGTGGCCCTTCGTGCCTGAGAAGTGGCAGTACAAACAAGCAATGAGCCCAGAGGACAAAACAAACCTGCAAGATGTGATTGGCGCCGGGCTACAGCAGTTACTGGTAGGGAGAGCCACGCCACCTGTCCCTCTGAGTGAGGCATTCAGACTTTAAGTAGACTAATAGATTAAATTTCTTTGAAGCCCAAGACAGCCCTACCCTTATGGTCAGCTCTGCCAGGTTGACTGATGTGGGGGGAAAAGCTATTTGAAAAGCATCACCTTAAGATCTTGTGTTGGAAAGACAAATCTAGTAAAAGTAAAGAAGGGTGGTTGGTGAGTTCCATGTAAAACCTGTCACCCTCAAATATTTACGTGTCTTTGGTGGGCCAAAGAAGTAGTTTTGATTCCAATGTGCCTCAGAACACTTTTGCTTTTAAATGACATTTTCCAAAAGTTAGGTAGCTTAAAAATAAGAGTCACCACTGTCTCATCAATGCCACTGAAGCCTGGCACGTCTCTTCCCCAGGCCCACTTGGCATCCTGTTGACTCCTGTAACTCCTTCTGATTAAGACTGTTCAGGAAGCATCAAGTCAAAGTCAATGACATGCTTATTACCCAACTAATTAATTAGAATTTAATTGAATTGATACCTCTACCCCAGGCAGGAGGAAACTTGAACAACAGCAGAGGAACCCAGATTAGGACTAGGGATTCAGGCTTCGGTTCTAGGGATATCACAAGGAGTGCCATTTGCCTTTCTGGTAGTGTCGCTTTTTACCCTCATGGTCTCAGATGATTGCCAAGGAAATCTATTAACTACTAGATGTGTCTTTTCTTATATAGAATATATTTTTGTGGAGATCATGCATAGAACAATGACAATATCCCCAAATTTTTACCTAACTGTTTACCTGGGATTGGGTTTTAGGGTCATGCTAAATAAATGTATAGACATTGTCTTTGCCTATTTAAGTGAAAATCTAGGAAAAGATCCTTTAATCTACAGACACAAAACAGCACCTTTAGGGAATTACTAAAAATAGTAAAACCTCCCCCTTTTTTTTTCCCCCAGAAAACAAAGCAAGTTTAGCAGACTAGGGATTATCAGGCAAAAGGAAGCAAATACTTGGAAAGAATGCATTGGTAAACCAGCGGTTTTAAATGGTGGGGTTGGTACTAGTGGAGAAGTGGAGGTAGAATGAAATAATAACTGTAATTTGCATATCGCTAAGTTTACAAAGTGCTTACACACGTATCATCTCATTTAATTGTCAAAATAACCCTATGGTGAGTATTTAGCGTTATCTTTTTTTTTTTTTAACATAATATCACTATGTAGCTTAGGCTGGCCTAGAACTTACTACATAACCAGGCTGGCCTCAAACTCACAATCCTTTTGCCTCAGCCTTTCCAGTACTGGGATTAAAGATGTGTACCACCATGCCAGATGTCATCTTCATTTTACAAATGAGGAAATTAAGGCGCAGAGAGAGAAATTTGCCCAGTGGCAGACTATGATGAGTAAGTTGCAGAACTGTGAGTTTTCATCTCTTCCTCTGTCTGATTGCAGCTCCCCATCAGGAAGCCCCAGGTGAAGAACCTGAAATGCAAGTGGGGGCTCTGATACTCCTTTACTCTAAAGCAAGCTGCCACCTGTCTTGTAGAGCATTTTGAGGCTATGGAAGTGTTCCATCTTTGTGCTGTTCAATGTGGCAGCCACCAGTCACACGTGGCTCTTGAGCACTTGAAATGGCAAATGTAACTGAAGACCTGAATTTGTAGTTTCATTGGTTTGAAATGAATTTTTACGTAAATCGCCCCCATGTGGCAGGGGCTGCTATTATATTGGTCAGAACACCTCTAAAATAGTGGCTTTTACAGTGAGTCCTCCCAACAACAGTGTCAGCATTGCATTGGGAACTTGTAGAGATTCAAATTCATGAGCCCAATCAAAACCCCTTACTGAGTCAAAGATCCTAGAGGTGGCGGTCCACTACTCAATATTAGACAAACTCTCCATGTGATTCTGATACAGACTGAAGTTTGAGAGCTCCTACTCTGAAGAGAAGAGAGAGAGAGGGAAAAGCAGAGAGCCCCAACAAGGATGCGAGTGCAGAAGGTGCAGGGTGAGAGAAAAGGAGAACTGAGTGAGAAGACTGTGAGGGACCAGGCAGGAAAGAGATCACTTCTGGGAACTGTTGCCTAGACAGAAAGAACCATTCTGGAAAAGCCAATGCTTGCTTCCCTGCTCAGAGATTCCTTGTGTGATCTGGCTAGGGGCAGACAAGATCTTTGTGAGCCTTCCAAGGAAGCTGAGAGCAGAAGAGGTGCAGATGGAGTGACACAGCAGTTTTCTCCTCTCCTTCCATCCTGCAACACACCAGGTCTCCTCCCTGCATCCCAAGCTGGCAGTGACATCAATGGGAAAACTGAAGCCTATGTTTTTAAAAGTTCAAGCCTTGCTGCATTGGGAGGTTAATGTGAGCTGGGAGACTAGCTACTTAGAGTTGACCAGTTGTCTTAAAGTTTTAAAAACACAGTTATCCTTCTTTTCACTGTGTCTTTCTATACGCCATGGATTTCACAACTGTGGAAACAGAGGCACAGAGAAGTTAAGAAGCCACTCAGAGGCGGGGCTAAATATCAATCCATCGGGCCTCCTGTAGTCCCTAATGGATTTAATCTGGAGCTTTGGAACTGAACATCGACTCCTTTAGCTTATGCAGCAAGCTGTAAATTAAGCAACCACACCTCCTAAGACTTTTAGGATGCATTCCCATTGTGCCTAATCCCAAGAACACAACAGTTAAAGCACTCTATTTTGTAAATATGGAGAACTATAGTGCCCCATGGACCTGGCTCTCACCAACTCTTACTGCTCTCAATATCTTAACATGCTAAAAGTAGCTCAATAAATTCTGTGATTTCTTTATGTCCCCGTATGCTGTCAGTTTCAATATATGGCAGTTTTCTGAAACTGAACAGTTGCATTTTTAATAACCAATCAATTGTGAAATTTCACTCTTACATCAAAAATAGTGAAAGTCTGTCTTTTCAGTCCTTATTTTTCCTTACACTTGTTCATAACGTCCATGATTGTTTTAACCTTGAAAAGAATCCTTCTCATAAAAAGGTTGCCTTCCATTTTTAAAGTTAGCATTGTGCTTCGAGTGTAAATATGGTATTTTTCTGTCAATCCCACGAACAGATCAAAGTTAAGCATAAACCGCTTAAGACAAAGCAAGTCATAAATGATTCTTTTGCACAGTTTCTGAGTTGTTGAGAATAAAGGTATTTCTCAGGCTGAACTTGATCAAGACAAATATTTATGTGTTTCGTGCTTTGCTTTCTGTTCTCCACTTGCTCCCCCTTCACCCGCCTTCCCTCCCTGCCTCTCTCCTTCCCTCCTCTTCCCTCCTCCCCACTCGCCAATCGTTTTTCCTTTGGTGTGTGGCCACAGACAGAAATTTATGGTAGGGGCCAAGCTCCTTTACACTGCACACAAAGCTTGCTGACTTGAGAGAGTTTGTCCGCGCTCTCCCAGAAAAAACACCTGCAGTACGCTCCCCAAGAAACCTGGAGAGATGGGAGATTAATGTGCCTGTAATAGCCAGGCAGTGTTTTGGGTATTATACCCTCTCCCCAGGTAGATGGGTCTTTTCTGAGATGATACCAATTATTTATTGCTGAAACATCTGTTGATAACTGCAGCTGCCCTTGTAAAACAAAGGCTATCACAGGGTCACAGGCTATGAGGACCTAAAATCCTACCTCACGCTAGCTTTGGTCTATTCAGCGACACCCTGAAGTCCATGGGTTACCATCATCTTTAATGTCTCATCGTGCCATGGAAAATACTTTGTAAACACTGTGCTGTTCTGTCCTTTGGGCTTTGAAGTATTATTTCATCTTCATTGGTAATTTATATTCCAGTGCCATTGTGCTGTGGGAAAAAGAGGGGGAAGCTTTTTTGTTTTTCATTTAATTGTATATCGCCTGACACTTTGACCTGTATTATTAGTATTAGTCAGAAAAAGGATTTTCTCCCTCTCTTATTTAAAAATAAAATTTCAAGGGAAAGTAAGCACTCCTTCAGCTCTTTTCACTCAAAACAATGTTTACACTCTGAGAGGGAAAGATGAAAAGCTTGGGCAACTTTTTTCAAGTGCATTTCGGTTTTTGAAAGAGAACAGTAAGGCCCTTATAAATATCATTCAGCAAAACCTTTGATGGATTTTTCAGAAAGTATTGAAGGCATTTAGCATTGGTTTCTGGGTAGCAGGCTTCAGCAGCAGAGCGCTTACTAGAAAAATTGGTCCTTGCTTGGGAGCTGCCAGGGAGGAAGGGTGCCATTCTCAATGCGGATGCCACCTTCAGGAACTCTTTCAGTAACTTTCACTTTTCTAAAAGGAACCATTTCTATGCAATCAAAAGGAAATCTGAAAATAAAGCTTCAAAAAGGAAAGAAAGGGTTTGAGTGCCAAGATTTGCATGTCTATGGCAGTTGGGAGTTCAGATATTGGAGACTCTGATTCTGAAATTCCCTGCCCAGGCCTGGGCTCCTGATGCTGGTGGGGGACTGGCCCCTCCCCACCTGTTGTTCCAGGGACCAGAGAAGGATCTGACTTTCTGGTAGCTCCTCTTCACAGACATACAAGCTGATGGTCATGGCTTGACACAAAAGCACAGTCTGGGGAGATGAAACAGGCTCAGGTTGATAATTTTTTTTCCCCATTTCCTTTTGTACTCCAGAAAAAGGACGATCTGGTATCTTTTATGCCATGAATATTTTTTAAAATATCTGTGCTACCTAAGAGCGATTTGAAGAAAGACACAACCACCCCCCCCAAATTAAGTGTTTAGTTATTGCTTTGTTCTATCTAGAGTGAAAAAGCCTTTGTGGATAAATATTTGATAAATTTAGTTTCTAAAATATTTTTTCTACGATGTTTTTTCAGATAACCTTGGTGCCTTTGATTTATTTGGAGAGAGGGGAACTGGGGATTGAATTCAGGGCTTCTAATCACTTTACCACTTGAGTACTTCAGTCACACCTCTAGCCCCCTTTTCTAGTTTATTTCTCAGATAGGGGCTCACATTTTTATCTGGGACCAGCTTCA